TTTTGGGAGAAACGACTCGAACGGATGGACGCCTCGAATGTGGAACTCGAAGAGCTCGAGAACTTTGATCTTCCCGTGAATATGAAACCCGTCGGACCGCATATGAGTAAAGACACTCTCCTCAGGAGTATAGCCACCGCTCTTCACATTCACACCCAACCCATTACCGGACAGATGAGCGCTAAGGAGTCCTTAGAGAAAGAGCCCGCCGTTTATCTCAATCCCGAACAGCCTTTGATTCACACAATGATTATATCGGACGAAGACATTAAGAAACAAGAATATAGAGTTCAAAGCGTCCGACAAAAACTCGAAAAGGCTTTGAATGAATGCGAAAACTAACGTCATTTCACTTACAAATTGCAACCATTGATTGCCAATCATTTAGTGTTGATCTCCACTTAACACTCATTCATAATTTTTTAATCAAATTAATTTAATTTAATTCAAACATAATTTGTAAACTTTTATATATTTTACTTACGGTTTAGGCGAATAGAGTACTATTTAATACATAGACTGTGCGATAAAGTCCCTAATTTATGGTAAATTTTGATAGTTTTTGAATCAAAACCTACTCTTAATAATTGTGTTAACTCTACGATTAAGACTCCGTTTATTTTGTGTATTATTAGCTCTGAATAATATTATGAAATAAAACATTTTCTTATAAATTATAAATAAGTTTTATTTGGGCTTTAATTACTGATATTATTCAGTAGTTATAGGAATCATATATTAATTTGGTTTGAGTGACAAATGTTCACTAATAATATATATTGGAATCAAAAGCCAAACACTCTTTGAAAAGACAGTTGAATTTCGTTTTGTTTGTGAAATCATATCCTTTAGTCTTAAGTTGAGGAGACATTGAATTCAATTGAAATGCATTCAAACTTTTGAATTATAGTTTCCAATCCTTTGGTTCAAAGGATTATCGGGTGATTTCATCCAATCTTTTTTCAAAATCTGTTTCAACTGAGAGAGTCTTAGGTTTGGATTTTCAGCTTTAATTCGGTCCAAATGTTGCGCTTCGAAGGCAGTGAAAGCGGCCTTCAGTCGCTTCTCCGGGTGTCGATCCAACTCCGGCTCATTTGTGCTAACATTTCAATCATTTTCAATACATTAATCCAACGATTGTAATCTAAAAACATGATTAACGCGAAACAACTATACCTAAGGAGAGCGATGGCGTCCTCAACACTCCTGGCGTTGTCTTCTTCGGCCACTAATCGGTTGACATTCTCTTCGAGCGATTTGTCATCAATTGAGTCCACTTTTTTGACCGTTTGTTTCGTCTGATTCTGTCGATCAATGGTTTCGTTGATTTCAAATCGACTCACTTTCGCCGCCTTGTCTTCGGCCGCCTTTTTGCTCTTGAGTGCACTCATCTCTTCCTCGTACGCGGCTTTGTTGGTGGCCTTCCTCTCCAACACCTCTATCTTCTTCTTCTCCTTCTCTTCCTTTCTATTCTGTTTGCGGACCACATGTTTGTCGTCGTCTGTCCAGAGCTGATCCTCTTTCAGCCTCTCTGTCGCCTCAATCTTCGCCTGTTTTACCGCATCCTTTCGGGCTTTACGTCAAAACCAATTCAAATACAAAACAAATCAATTGTCATATCATTTATAAATGAGTCAAACAGTTGTCATACCTTTCGCTTCAACTGATTTGGTATTTGTGCTCAACTTCTTCGGCATTTCTGGCCCCAAAAGAGTCACTCAATTATATATAAAAACCAATCAATGATTAGTTTAAAGAATATTTAAGCCAAACATCAAAACAACAATCTTTTGGTCAAACAATTCATCAAAAAAGAGATAAACAGCTGATTGAGTGATAGGGAGGAGGAGTTGCAGCGGACCAACCAATGAGCGCACACTTCGCCCCAACTCATCGGCCAATGAATGGCACGTATTTGAGTTCAAAACATTTTTTGTGTGAAAAATACATTTGAGTTTTGATTTTGAAAATGAATTGAAGAGTCAATTGATGTCTACTTAAAGACAATGAATTGTTGAGCGAATGTCTCAACCAATGAGACCATCATTTCCTACCATTGAATACACATTCACTTCACAAACCATTATATATATTGTGAACTCATTTTCCCTTTAAATTCAATCCAATTGTTAGTTACAAATCAAACCACAATTGATTCACACGTTTTCCCATTCAGTGTTCGCATTCATTGTTACCACGATTTTTATATGAGTCAAACAGTTGTCATACCTTTCGCTTCAACTGATTTGGTATTTGTGCTCAACTTCTTCGGCATTTCTGGCCCCAAAAGAGTCACTCAATTATATATAAAAACCAATCAATGATTAGTTTAAACAATATTTAAGCCAAACATCAAAACAAAAATCTTTTGGTCAAACAATTCATCAAAAAAGAGATAAACAGCTGATTGAGTGATAGGGAGGAGGAGTTGCAGCGGACCAACCAATGAGCGCACACTTCGCCCCAACTCATCGGCCAATGAAAGGCACGTATTTTGAGTTCAAAACATTTTTTGTGTGAAAAATACATTTGAGTTTTGATTTTGAAAATGAATTGAAGAGTCAATTGATGTCTACTTAAAGACAATGAATTGTTGAGCGAATGTCTCAACCAATTAGACCATCATTTGCTACCATTTAATACACATTCAATTCACAGACCATTATATATATTGTGAACTCATTTTCCCTTTAAATTCAATCCAATTGTTAGTTACAAATCAAACCACAATTGATTCACACGTTTTCCCATTCAGTGTTCGCATTCATTGTTACCACGATTTTTATACCATTATATATATTGTGAACTCATTTTCCCTTTAAATTCAATCCAATTGTTAGTTACAAATCAAACCACAATTGATTCACACGTTTTCCCATTCAGTGTTCGCATTCATTGTTACCACGATTTTTATGCACGACTTTTAATTATTTATTTATTTAAGTTTTGTTTTTAATTATAATTTTATTAATTTCATTAACCGATCGCTAAATCATTTCAACCGACACTTAATCTTAATGTAAATACTGTTGACTATATTTGACAACAAATCCGTTTACTTAAGACATCCAATCATTTCGTTATTTCATTTGCATTTCATTTGCCATCACTTCTCATAACAAAGAGTTTTATTTGCAATCATTTTATTATTAAATTTAGTTATAAATCACTTTTCGATGGAAACAATGGATATAATCACTGACGAGAACTGCTCCCAAATGAACGCAAACCACGGTTTGGCTAACAATAAAGTAATCAATAAATTGGTCGCCAATAATGAGCGGCGAATTTTGGCTCCGATTGTTGGCAACACTTCCCGACACTTGAAGACAAAGTCGTCGTCAAATGCGTTACAACCGAAACAGTGGCCAAACAATGAGTCCAATGTCTTCGGCGTCCAAAAGGGCGGAAAAGTGGCCAAAACGGCTCAAATGCCTAACAAATCGGATTTTGAGATCTTTTGCGATAACTCGGACTCTGAGATGAATGGCTCTAACGATGAGAATGACTTCGATCTCACTTTGGATGACGTGAAGGACGAAATGGATTCGTGCGAAGAGACGGACAACTTGTTGTCAGAAAGAACTGAAAACTCGTTGGCCATCGAAGAAGAAGTAATCATTGAGGGCTTCAGCGAAACTGATATTAAATGTAACGAAACGATCGAAATCGAGAGCGAAGACGAAGAGCTGGAGGACGCTTCCGCTTACGAGCAGACGTCGGAAGTGTTGCGATCTTTCGATCTGACGGCTCTCTCCCGTTGTAAGGAATACTCGCATGAAATCCACAAATATCTCATGTTTTACGAGAGGAAACAAATGGCGGATCCCTTCTATATCTCCAAACAACCGGAAATCAACGCCAAAATGAGGAGTATTTTAGTCGATTGGTTGGTCGAAGTGACCGAAGAGTACAAACTTCTGGACCAAACTCTGTTCTTAGCCGTCAATTACATCGACAGGTTTTCCACATATTTGTTGAGCTCTTAATTGTTATATTAATGCTTTTATTTGAATCAGATTCCTGTCATTGATGTCTATTTCACGGCAAAGCTTTCAATTATTGGGTATTAAATCTAAATTAACAAAAACAATGATTGAATGAATTTTAATATCTTAAGGAACGGCCGCTCTATTTATTGCCTCCAAATATGAGGAGATATATCCGCCGGAATTGAGTGAATTCGTGTACATCACTGACGACTCCTATACTAAGCAACAGATCCTAAATATGGAAAAACTCATTCTTAAGGTATAGTTTGCAGAGAAGTTGTAATTAATAAGGTTTTGATAATACTGTTATCAAACGATAGGCTCTGGACTTTGATGTGTCGGCGCCCACTACTTACTACTTCATCGACAAGTTCTCCACTGATTTACAATTGGAGTCAATTATCAAACATTTGGCAAAGGTTTGCACGCATTGATAGATTGATTAATTGATTCCATGGTTTCAAACATTGTCTAATTGTTTAGTATTTGTCTCATTTGGCACTTCTGGAGAGCGAGCCATTCTTGCGCTACTATCCGAGTGAGATCGCCATCTGCTCTATCATTCTTTCGGCACAAACTCTGGGCTTACGTCCGGCCGTTAGCAGTCATTTCATTGACGAGTCCATCGCTTACGAGAAGGGCCTGAAGGGCGGAGACGTGAACGCCTTTTTGGCCGAACGACAGACATGTCTCGAATGTATTCACAGAATGCATGCCTTCGCTCACAAACACCCCCAACAGGCCATTCAAGCCAAATATGCATCCGATAAGTGAGTATCTCTTCAACACGTTTATCGAGTGATTAGTGCCTCAATTCTAATCATTACTATTACAGGTATTATCGCGTCTCTACTGTCGAGCCTCTCACCACTTCTCCGCGTATTTAAACCCAAACTTTGATTCAATCGCTTTGATAATTATTTTTAGCATTTCTTCATTTTAATAATCATTGCATTTAAGTTCTTATTAATTATTAAATCTTAATTATCAAACAATTAATTTTTTAATGTTTTAAATAAAAGTAATTTACACACGATTTTACTTTTACTCAACCATTTAGATAATGATTTATTAATGAAACCAAATGTTTAACTAATTTTGTACTTCAATGCAAAGAAACAAATAAATACTTAATGTCTGTGTTGTGAAGATTTGCGTTTAGATCCGTTTCTCTTGTCTTTATGTGTTTCGCTCTTTATTTTATCACTTTTAATGATATCATACCTTCTGTCACGTGATTTGCTGTCATCTCTTCTCTTATCCTTTGATTTGGATTTATTTTTACGCCTTTTTGATCGACTATTAGATCCGGAAGAAGACGAGTGGGAAGACGAAGAACTGCTCGATTCACTCCTACTTCTATGCCTTCGCTTTCGATGCTTTTTATTGTTTTTAATATTGATTTGTATCTCAAACTTGTGGTCAG